TTCTCCAGGCTCCGTTCTATGACATTCTCATCCCCTTACCACTGTACCTGCTGACTTCTAGGATATGCAAGTGATACCTGACTAATCCCTAGGAAGCACGATTCATTCTCTATTAACTTTTCCCTTGAAGCAGGGCATACATGCAGCTCCTAAATCACAGAAAGGTTTGCTAGTCACAACTATAGTCTGCTTTCTCGACTTTTAGCTCGAGGAGCTACTTCCTAAAAGAAACAAAGAAACACTGATTTATGGCAATCAGGAAGCTGACTAACCGAGTCCATGAAGTTTTCTTCCATTGCCATAGATCGTATTTGTATAAGGAGTGAGAGTGAACATCAACGGAAAATTCAAACATCAGTTGAAAATCGAGCCAGGAAAATTGCAAAGGTGCAATAGAAAGCAATTTGAGAAAACTGTTCAGGTCTCCTTTAACTCTTGTCTAGACTGCCATCCTGTTGATGGATTCTAACTTTACACAGGGATAATTCTCCCTTAAATTTCCCCCTCTAAGCAAAGGTATTTCCAGTAAAAGTACCAAACGCAGTGCAAGATCCAGCATGAAATTCATCTTTAGGTCACTCAGTAAGATCTCAAAACAAGAAAAACCTGCTCTACTCTACTGCATTAATATATTGCACTTCTACTGCACGTAGACAGGCATCTCTTTTTTTTAAGCTCCACATTCAAAATACACATGCTAAACTCCAACAGTGAAACCGTTTAGTTTGGGTCAACCCTCTGGTTGTGAAGATACTTGACCTAGATCGACTCTAGTGTCTATCCTGTTCTTAGCAATCTAAGGGTCCAATGTTTTCCAAAGTCTCTTACTGTTCTGATATTAAAAATGTTACGTAGTACTCTTTCCAGGGCTGGCTCAACTCTTTACTTTGCCTCCAAAGTCAGAGAATTCTTACTGTAACTGGCAGAAGGAGTTCTGCATGGTAGTGAATGCTGGCGAGCTCCAAGAAAGAGGGCAACCGACTTACTGAACTGACCTTCTCTGAAAGCGATGGCCCACAACTGCCTGTCTCTAATGAAGAGTTTGTCCACTGTAAGGGACAGAACGTGCATTTCTTTCAAAGGAGTCTTATTGGAAGGTGTCAGTGCAACCAAAGGTGGTGGTCATGATCCTGGCGGCTCAAGATAAGCACATTTTCTTCTTCAGAAAAGCAGCCAGTGACCAGCCAAATGAACAGAGAGAAGTAGTATCCAAAGATCTAAGAGTAACCTAGAAATTCCAGCTGAATTCACTTGGAAGAAAGTTAATTTCATAATTTGTTCAACTATAAACCAAAGAAGAAGAAAATAGCTAGGAGACAGCCTCCCACATTACTGCTTCATCAGAGAGGACATGACTAAGAAAAGCAGGTCTGTTTAGAAACAGAGCAGACCAGACTAAGCTGTGCAGCACCAAGAAAGACGACAGCCACCTGTGCAGGGCAACCAACTGCTTGCTCCAGTCGGTGACTGACATCCATTTTTAGCTTTTTATAGTAATGGAAGTGAGATGCCAAATACCACCCACTGTATGAACTCAATCAACCATAAAAGGAAAAACAGACATGACCACACACAGGAAGCAGGTAACAAGCTCTCTGCTCGCAGCTATTATGCTCTTTCCTGTTGGAGGATGAAGTAGACCAAAAAGATCAACTGCTCGGGGAGCCAGCTGCCCTCTTCACAAGTTAAAAATACAACAGTTCTCAGCAGATGCAAACAGAGTGGTTCACTGACAGGGAAGGTGAATAGAAGTTCTGCTTTTTTTCCCCCCTTTTTATTGAACTGTGTTCATGCTACAGAGCAACTGCTTCATACGTATAAAACTTAACAGTAGGAGGTGTAACGGTTTCCAAAAGGAGCTAAAACAGAAGTCAGAGACTCCTTTCGGTAGTTCACAGTTCTGAAAAAGGAAGTGCTTTCTCCATGATCAGCAAACATCTGAAAAGCATTTGCAGAAGTTCTAGGCTAGCTGTTGCAGTATTACTTCAAAGACAATAAAAAAGTGCTTAAGAAACTGGGTTTCTTAGTCCTGACACCAGCACTGTGCCTCAAAAGAGGCCAATACTGGGGTGAAAGGAAGGATATTTTATCATTTCTTTTCATACCAACCCTCGGTAAGGCTGTTTTCTGACTTCTAGCTACGACTGAAAACAACATGCAAGGTGATATGCAAAGACACGCTCTTGCTAGCATTTCTTCTACTTGTAACTTTTACCCTCTTTTAAAAACTGGAAGTGGTAAGGCTTTTTGGTTTTGTTTTTTTCCCTTTTCCATTTCAAGACCTCTTGACTGAAGTGAACAGAAGATACTCCATCCCCTCCCAAAATAGCAACAGGGAGAGCTTAAATTTGGTTGTTTCTTTATTACACAAAAGGCTTTGAAATGCAGCAATATTATTGCTGCTTCTTTAAAAATTCATTATTGTCATTTTCATCCTACAACTACTTAGAAGACAATAAGGAAACTACAGCAACCTGCATCTTACAATGCGCATAGAATTCACGAGCATACACGAGCAGACTGAAGTGGCTTATTTTCATCAGGTGAGTTTTTGGATTGGCTTCATGCTCTTCTCTATGTTTCATTCATCCACTGACCACAATGCCCTAAGTCTTAATAAAAATTCCAGTGAAGATAAAATTCCCTTCTACCACTCAGGAAAAACTTTCTTCATCATGAATGAAGATTTTTAAATCTCTGCATCATAGGAGGGTTTTCAAATACAGACTATTGTAATTGCTAGCTTTTTTGTCTATTTACTAGAAATCTACGGGAACGTTACACAAGTGTTCTTGTTTGGATCAGAAGCGCACTTCGGAAGCAAATCTCCTGATAGTCACCACTTGCTGCTCTTCAGTTCACATTGCTTAGAGGTTTCAGTTCCTTTCAGATGATGCTGAACTAGCAGATGCACTCCAAGAGCACCTCTGCCGCACTCCAGTTGTTAATAAGCATTCAGTCCATGGGACCACCACATTAGACTTAGTCCCAGATAAAATACTCCTGAAATTTGTATAGCACGGGTGTCAGGTCCTCAGCATCAACTGTTCTGCTCGACAGAAATCCTCCTACCGGCCCACACTACTCACGAATCTAGCAGCGGATCAAGCCTGAAGGCTGTCTCAGAAAACTGGATAATTAGATTCATATCAGCAACGAAAAGGAATCTTTCATGAGTCATGTGCGAAGTACTAAACTTCAGCTGAACTTTCACCTTTTCATCGGAAAAGGGATAAAAGCAGTGGCAATCAGCAGAACATCGTCTGCCAGCTGATGAGATGTCTCAGCAAAAATGCCTTTAGATAAAACATTAGTTAAACTTTTAAGTGCAAGTATTTGGCAATCCTGAGATCTGCTACAGAAGTACAGCTTTAGAATTCCAAAGTCATTCATTCAGATAAGTTAAAATTAGCACTAGATGTAAATCCCTTGATAGCTTTGGGAATCTCAAATAATATTTTTCATAAGTAGTATTCTCTTCGCCCAATATCACTGCATACAATTAGATTGACTGAAGCCTTTTTGCCGCTGTTAGGCTTTCCTTTTTTCTCCTCCAGGTCCAGATGCATGCCATACTACAGAGGAAACCAGACTGGTCCAGTTTTGAGTACCGCAATTTCACATAAAGTTATATTGCGTGCGTATATACATACACAAATGTAAACACACACATGCAAATGAACATAATGCTGCTTTTGATCAAGAACTAAGTCAAATAAAAACTAAATGAAGCGTGCATAAAACCACAAAGAAATTAGTCTCGAGTTTCACATCCGCAGTAAGGTTCAGGCACCCCCTATGCCTCCCTTTACCTGGCCACCATTTCCTGCTGCAGCAAAACCACCTGCTCTGTACAGCCATAAAGATCAGAGAGGCCAAACAGTGAATCTTTACCCCAAGGTGGATCAGTTTTCCTGATCCTGTTTCACCACGCGACCACATAAACCTCCATGAGGACAAAAAGCAGGAGCAATAGAGTAGGCACAATATACTGCCAGGGGACAAGCAGGGTATGGAGCATTTCACTGCTCTCAAATGAATGTATTTTCCAAGTCCCTGTCAGGAAAAAACAAACAGTAGTGTACTGCTTTACAGACATCAGTACTGAAAAACCAGCATGGACAGTGACCTGTGTATTGGCTTTTAGTTTTGCCTGGATTAGTTAATTCTGAACAAAAATTTAAAATACCGTTATGAATCACTGGCAGGTACTCCATATAACAAAAGCCACTATGGGGGGGATAACAGCCTACAACAGAAATAAATATTCCTGGCGGCTTTGTTATACCTTAGCATATGTTGATATACAGTAACCAGAACTGTCCAATTAATTTTCTATCGGGGGGGGGGAACCCTTCACCTTTGTTCAATGATTAGCTTATATATATAAAAAACATGCTTTGACCAGCTTTCACTTTAAGTATCTTAAATGTTTTAAGTGGATTCCAACTGCCACCTGTATACAGAAATCATGAATTTTAAAATGTTAAAAGTTGTTGGAATTAACGCAATGCTGGGAAGAGAGTGGTTCAAGTTATTAAGATGAGTGACACAGAGCTAAACTTTGTCCTAACTCAGCTGCAACACATCCATTTACAGATACACTTTATACCAAAGATTGGATCAATACAACCTAGCTCAATGCAACACTGTTCAGAGTACCACCTCACTTTGTTGAGCTGTAGCATGAAGTAACAGAGAACAGGATTAAGTATTAAGCAGTCTCAGTACAATCAACACAAAGCTAACAAGTCTAGTTAGCTTCTTTGCAAAATACATTAAGAGGTTGGATCTGCGCCTATTTTAATAAACCTGATATTATATTATACATAAATTCATTAGTTATTTTCCTATTTAAGATTGTTATTTAGGATGAGCTGTTTGGTCCTGTATTCAGTGAATTAGTATAAGGAACTAAGAATTTTTCCTGTTTTGTTTCTCAAAAGTAAATGCATCCCTGAAAAGTGATAATATAGCAAAATGCTACAGAGTCAACTTACCACTGCCACAGCATCACTAGAAAGAACAGCATTAACATCCAGCACTGAATAATAAGCTATATTAGTCATAATATAGATAACAGTCACAATTGGCATAGACACTGCAATAGCCAGTGGCAAGGTCCTGTAAGATTAAAAAAAAAAAAAAAAAATCATTAATAATAGAATTACCTTATTAATTTGCATCTCTTACTTCAGAGATAAAAGGTATAAAGATACAAAAAGATTTCAAAATTGCTATCTCTGGAAGAGTTTGTTTTAAAATTAGAAATTCTAATGTGGAATACCAGGAAAACTAGAAATTCTAACTGCAACAGAACTTTAAACTTAAATTTTGTGAAAAAGGTGATTCTATGCCACTGCTCTTCAAGTACACTAACTTCAGGGTTTCCAGATCAGGGATTATAGGCCTTCAAAGTCACACACCTTCAATTATTTCCTACTAACCATGTTGTTTATCACTACTAGGAGGAGACCAAAAGGAGCAGAGCTCTGAGCCACTGCATTCACTCCACCTGGGGAATGCTGCTGCTCTTCTTCTAGTACCTATTTCTAGAAAGGAGGCAGGGGAATCCTCCAAATCAAAACAAAACCTTGAACATCTCATCCGCATTCATTTGTCACCACAGCAGAGAACAAACAACTTGGGCTGGATCTCTGCTGAAGGTAGAGGTGCAGAGGGCAGAGATCCAAAACTGCTGCCCAGCTGCAGGTTCTGGATGAAGTGCATCTTATTAGCAAACAGGCGAGACAATAATGTCTGGAAAGTAATGTGAAAGCACTGCAAGCCAAACTCTAAACATGAACAGGTAAGATTTAATTTAAGCTAGCAGTTTATAAAAGGAAGGTACATTTCTAAGAACATCCATATCCTTCCTGACAGATGAGCTTTCCTGAAAGAACATTTTAAACTTTTGGTGATGAAAGAACAGTTATAAATGGCTGCAGAAGAGAAAGAAGAGGTCAAGCATACACGGTAAATACCTTCAATATTTTTCCAACCTACAGTTAAATTTTATTTGAGAACATTTCCTGCATCTAACACGGTTTGTCACCACGTTCAGCATCGGTTCAGCCTCTTCCTGACAAGCTGCTCCACAAGTCCACGCCTCACTGTGGGAAAAGCTACCTCTTTCTGTTTGTTTTGAACCCAGCTCCTGGCAGCTTCACATCATGGCTCTAGTTTTTTTGTTGGATCAGTGGGGGCAATTCTTTACTACTTTCCCTGTGCCTAGCAATCTGCAACAAAGGCCAAGATAACCAGAGCGCTGGGCTTTTGCGAGCAAAGATGCAGCAGAGTACAGCAAACAGAGGAGACTACAAGAATGTAGGTGTAATTTCCCCTTGGTATGCTTTCATTTCTAGCCTCGGACTGGAGCAGTGGGCACATCATGCTGCTCCTCCCTGATCTAGCTATGCCCTCCTCCAAGAGGGGCCAAATCTTGCCTAGTCTTCCCCCTTATTTTCCCAAAGTTCCAGGAGATTTGTTGTCCCTCCGACTTCACATGGAGAATCAGGGACCCCACATGTAGAGAGGGCACAGAAACTCAGAGCCCAGAGTCTGGAGCTCCACAGAGCAGAAGTAAACTTCCATTTTCTGGCTTTTCTCAGCCTTGCTCTCTCCCCAGATCTTGCACGGATATTCAGATGTCTTGAAAAGGGAAGCAAGGGGGAGAGTGTTGCTCTCCCACCCATCCACTTTGAAATCAAACACAGAAACATGAATGAGCCATTCGACATGAACACAAACACAATTTTCAGCAACAACAAAAAACAACAAAATGGAAAAACTGAAAGGCATTTTGGAAGATTCTGCAAAAATTTTGAGAAGCCCAGACCTCCACCTGGGCCTGTCTGATGCTGCACAGGCAGAAAAGAGGGAAAAAAAAAAAAAACCCAGCAAGTGGGAGTTCTGGCTCTGCTTTCAGGTTGCACACCAAGAGCAAGAGTCCAGCGGACCTCAGCACAGAGAAGACACAGAACTAGAAAATCACTCTGAAATTCACTCAAGCACCCAAGATCAAAGCCAAAGGACTATTTCAAATTTAACTTGTGAAGTACAGCTTTGACAAAATGAGCATGAGGGAAGGCATTATGAATCAAGTCATCACAAAAAAAAAAAAATTATCCTATCAGATAGGAGATATATGTATATGATATGTCAGCTATCAGAAAAAACTATTTTTCAAAACAATGCATCTATTACACAACTTATGCAACTGATGGTACAAAACAATACAGTAACTTCAAAAGATGAAAAGGTACCGCAACTTCAAAAGGAGCTCTTTCAGCAGG